GGGGCAGGGGGGGCAGAGGCAGGGGCTGGGGCGGCTTCCATGCGGCCCTAACCAAGGTGAGTCACAGCCTCCGCAATGCCCGGCCCATCAGCTTACCTCTAGAGGCGCTACTTCCAGTGGAACTTCTTTTGGCAGAGAGCGGCCGACTGGAAATAAAGTAGACACCTGCTTATTTTCAAATATGCACTTGACCTGCATTAATACAAGTACAATCAATAACTGGAAATTATGATAATGAAGAATGATTTCGGAGTCCAGAATTTCTCAGGCAAGTTGGCCCACAATCTTATAAACTCCCCGTTTGAGAAAGCTTTACCATTCCAATGTGGACTATCTTGCAAACACACAGAGAGCAGTCCCACCTAGAGACAGACGCTGAAACACAGAGTAAAGGTGACGTGACATTCAGCCTCAGGTTCAGAACGCCCTCCCTTTACAAGCCTGTCCTGCAGTTATAACTGCTGGCTCTCAGAAGACACTAACTCTACTACTGAACCATCACATCAGTGTAACTAAAATCAACTTATGGCGCGGACCAAGGCCACCTATTTCTTACCCTTCCCATGGCGTCTTACCTCGTACCAGAACCACCTGAAGGGGGACTTATACCAGGCTTGTACATGTAAAAACACAGCTAGAATTTGTGTTTTCATGCAGCAGATTTTAAACATAAAATCTCACACGAATGAATCCTTACTTCAGACTCTCTTGAGAGCTAGAAGATGAGCGATCGGATTGCGGCAAAGACACGATGCTGTCCGAGTTCTTCAAGTGGGACTGCAGGGCCTTCTGGTAGGAGGACTCCAGCGTGTGGTACAAGTGCTCTGCTTCTCTGCTGAAGTGACTGTGGAACCCCCAGTAGCACCTCGGGAAAACACAGCTTCCCGTTACCGTGAGGGCGCAGCAGGAGCTTCGCTGAGCTCTGCATCGTGCCCGACAGGACACGTCCCAGGACCAGCAGCCTGTTCCCCTGCTCCCGGAGCCTGGGTGCGGAAGACACCATGGACAAAGGAGGCTGACCGCACAACGTGCTGGCGTGTTGACACTGGGCAGGAACTTCTCTGAATCTCAGTCTCATTACAAAATGGAAATTAAATAGGCTCACTTGCAAGAACACTGGGGAGCCTTAAGGGAGAGGGAGCTGAAACATGGAGAACTATACCTAAAACCTGAGGGAGTCACAAATGGCAGTTTTTGTTGTTTTGTTAATCCTCACTGGAGGATTTTTTTTTTCCATTGATTTTTGGAGAGTGGAAGGGAGAGAGAGAAAGAGAGGTAGAGAGACAGAGATAGAGATAGAGATAGAGATAGAGATAGAGATAGAGAGAAAGAAAGAGAAGAAGAAAAAAAACATGGATGTGAGACACATTTTTGACTGGTTGCCTTGCGCAAGCACCCAGACTGGGGGGAGGGATCGAACCTGCGACCCAGGTACATTCCCTTGACCAGGAATTGAACCTGAAAACCTTTGATGCACAGGCTGGTGCTCTAACCATTTAGAGACACTGCCAGGACTAATGGTAGTTTTTATCAATGTAATTTGACACTCATTGATTTGAAGTATTTAAAAATTGCCCTAGATAATGTGTACAAAAAAAAAAGGAAAGATGTTCAGAACTACTTAAAATGATAACTAAAGAACTACAATGAATTGGGGAAGGGGAAGAATACAAGGATAAAAACAGCATAAGTAGGTCATTAACAAATACCTTCCTAATAGTTTTTACCAGCTATTAATTATTTCAGTTACTTTGGTAGGAACCACCCAAGATGAGCTTGTGATGAGCACTTCACTGTCATAGTTAGGTCCTCCAAAAAACTCAGAAACCAGAGAAATAGAATTTATCTGAGAGAACAAAGAGCAGGAAGTAATTGATCAGGACGTATTAATGCAGCTAAGCAAAATAACCATACTCCATGCTTGTAAGAAAGAATAGGGTTGTTGCTATTTTTTTTAATATATTTTTATTGATTTCAGAAAGGAAGGGAGAGGGAGAGAGAAACATCAATGATGAGAGAGCATCATTGATTGGCTGCCTGCTGCACGCCCCCACTGGGGATCGAGCCCGAAACGTGGGCATGTGCCCTTGCCTGGAATCGAACCCGGGACCCTTCAGTCTGCAGGCCAACCCTCTATCTACTGAGCCAAACTAGTTAGGGCAAGAATAGGTTTTAACCTGTGTCAAGGAGAAGAGCTGATCAACCACAAAAGCACAGAAAAAACCGCCACAGGAAAAGCTGGCAGTGCTCATCTATGTGCTACTGTGCCTGAGAAAGACTAGCACGAAACTTCTGGTGTTCACGGTCACAGTGCAAAATTACTCTCAGGGAGTATTGAACGTCTGGGGCCATAGCCTTGTGAACGGAGCGGAACTGCCTCAAACGTGATGGCAGCAGCAAGTCATCACTGGGACAACGCTGAGCCTCCGCTCACCCCCTCCCCTATCTGTGACGCACACCCCCAACCACCACCTGATGCTCACTGTGGCTGACCGCGGGGAAAGAAGTCACTGTGGACTCTGGCCTGGCTTTAGCAGGGCTCACTGAAGGAGTCAGAGAATACCCGAGCCTATGAAAAGGTGGTGTACAAATACACACTTACTTTCTGGCTTCTATCCTGGCTTCAGAGTCAGCATCATGTATTCCCTTCTTTATCGTTTCGGCTAATACTGATATGTGCCTAGACATTTAGAAAAGAGAGCAGCAACAATTAATAACGTATGTGCTGTGCAGATGGAAACAATGCAGCTTCCGCATCAGAGTGTCCTGGGGGCCCGGGGTCTGTCCCAGTGCCCCACCCCCACCCAAGCACCCTGATAACTGTACACTCTGGTGTGATTTTTTTTTCTTAAGTTAAAGCTGATTTTTTTCAGGCCATACTTATTTAGCTCAATCTTTTATGAACCAAAACAACAAAATCCCATTTTTCCATAGTTAGAACTAGTTTCTATGGAAATTTGTAATAAGACAATTATAATCTTAATACTAAAGAAGCTATCTGCATCACATTTCTGTATTTAAAGAGAATGTTTTTTCAAGTTCCACTATGTATCATGAACAATTTTATAAAATTATGTAAGCATTTTATAGATAGGTATTCTCTTTAGTTATGTTCTACTCTAGGTGAGAAGAAATCATTAAACTGTCTCATTGACATTTAACAAAGTTTTTTAAAAAGGGAAATGCTGGAATGAATAGTTTCACAGAACAAAGAGCAGTTACCAATTTTACCAGCACATTCACAGACTTTCCCTCACTCCTTCATTCATTCAATATTTAGTGACAAACACAGAGCTGGAAGGTGAATGAATACATGAGGCTACATCTGAGTTCTTCGTGCTTTTCTATTCTCTTCACTTGTCCCCACATTAAATCCTCATTCCACTTTCCTCTAAATTCCAAAGCTGCCACCAAATAAAGAGGATATACTAGTACTACTATGAGATTAAAAACCAAGAAAGTATTGAAAAAAAATGTCAGACTATCTTCTAGATGCAAAGTATGTCCAGGTGAAAATGTGCCCCAGGGAGCCTCAGCTTCGTTTCATCTCTGACCACTGCAGCATGGATGGGCCTCCTAGGAGCACTCAACTTATTAAAATGCCACTCTAATAAGTTTAATATGCTATGAAAGTCTTCACAAATTATACGATATATCATTAAAAATGAGTGGCACAAAAATCAGCATTTATTTCTCCAAATTTAACTCAGAAATAACAAAAAATGACTCAAAGTTCTGAGGCAGGCTTCTATTCTTCAGGAATTGTCATAATCCCAGTTTTCGTTATGATGATGTGAAACTTACCAAACACCAATCTGAATAAAGAGAAAATTGCTGACTTTCTGATCTACCCAGGCTGCTCAGAACACCTTAGCCAGGAGGCCAGCTGCAGGACCAGTCAGCGAAGGGGCAGCCGGGCTGTGTGGCTGTCACAGTGCACATCTGCCCACACCTCTAGACACACTAATCCTTCAGTCAGTGAAGTTCACTCCAGGCTATTATGTGCCTCAGAGCAATAGAAATACAGATGTAGTCATGAGAACAAATGCTTAGATTCCTTCATTGCTGATAGAAAGTGGACCACTCACTGAGTCATTAAATCTCAAGATTCAATTCAGAGGGAAAAAACAGCAAATCGAATGCTCACCGTTCCAGTGAATGTGTTTGCCATTCTTGTAAAAGTAAATCTAAAAATTCAAAACAGCGTCTGAAAATTGTAAAGAAAAATATGTAACTTAGTGATTTGTATGTTAGTGAAAATAAAAGCTTTTTTCTTAAATGACCCAACACTACTTTTTATAATTGATAAGTGACTTCTAATTTTTATGATTTAAAAAATGGAACATAAAGATGGGATCAGAATTAACAAAGTCAAAGAAAATTTTAAAAATGAAGCATCTATGGTGGTCAAAAGAAAAACCAGAGCTAGCTATAGGGACAGGATGCAAACGTTCCCCCCAGCAACATCACCCACAGGGTGCATTGTTCTCAAGTGTTTTATTCTACCTCAAACAATACGAGGATACAGACACAAACATGCACAGAAGAGCAACGTATATTACAGAATCAGGCAACTGGTCTTTGCATTAATTTCACAGAATGCCTTGCGCACAAAAAAGTAAAAAAACACCCTGAAAAACAAAAAGTGTTTGACAAATTTTCCTGTTAAGAAGGTTCTAGGTAGTGCTTAAAATCCTTTTTTTTCTAGCTACTCAGCCATTTTCCTCTCCTCAATCTTTCAATAGCCTTTCTCTTTCAGCCTTTTCACTTCTGTGATATTTCTTAGTCTGATTTGTGCACTGAAACATTCCTGTCTCCTCTCCTTTGGATGACATCACCACTTTGGGTGAAGGCCAGGGTAGCCATCTCTGTGGGAAGAAATCTTAATGGTTTTAGGAACCCATTCAAGGAAACAGGTCAGAAGGTGATCTTTCTCGATTGACCCGACTTTCCTTCCCATGATCTTCCTAATTCAAAACCTCATAATCCATACAATTAACCACTCAGTAAATCTTTAACAAGCCCTTACCCTCTGCTAGATGCTAGAGATACAATGGTAACTAAGACACAATCCAGGGAGCTCGACAGACGAAAAAGGGTTACCGTGTGCCTAGAGCACCAGGGGATCTAAAGCACACAGGAGAGATATTCATCCCAATCCTAGGGGTGGTAACATGGGGAGTTTGGGGGCTTGCAAAGCAAACTTTCTCCAAGGAAACACACTGGATTTATCTCTTAATGCAAACAGCCATCTGTAGTACTAATTCTTGTCTTAAGTATTAATTAAAAATACACCTGTAATTAGGTTTTGTTTTCAACTTTTTAGACTTACAGCAAACACAGAAGTCTACCCATGTTGGCATTATTTAACCACATCACCAATTAAACACATCAGGTTAGAACTTGTCTCTTCTTCACCTACTCATCATTCAAGCAGGCAGCTCAAATTTCCACTTTCTATGAAGCTTCTTGAGCATGTTATCTGCTGGTTTTCATCACTGCTCTCCCTGAATGCTGTAACTCACTCTTACACTGCTTTGTGTTACTGGTTTTAATATCTCTAACTAATGATAAACTTCTGAAGGCAGGGAAGTGGTGCAATGCATTTCTTAGCAATTCTAGAGAGCGAAGGTAGGTACAGGTTACACTGCCCCCTCGGGCCCTCTATACCTTTCTACAGGCAGAGCGACAGCCAGGTGGTCCCCATTCCTTCCAGCACTAAGACACGTGATTCTGACGGTACTCGCTCTGACTGAATACAGAACAGCAATCTGGGAGTGGCTCAGAAATCGATGGGGGAGGGGGGGGGGGGGGCATTCCTACTGTCAAAGGCTTGTAGTTTGCTACTCACATTTCGCAGCAGAGGCCAGAACTGCTAACTGCTCCGGAATGAGTTGTGCTAACCCAACATGTATACACTGAGGCCCTAATCCCCAGTACATGGTATTGGGAGATGGAGCCTTCGGGAGGTAATGCAGTGAGGCTCTAGGGATGGATTGGTACCCTCCTAAGAAGAAACACCAGGTAGCTTGCTCTCTTTCCCTCTGTCTTGTGAAGACACAGAGAGAAGGCCGCCATCTGCAAGCTACCCTCCTTGGAACCAACCATCAGGCACCCTGCCCGCAGCCCGCCGGCTCCAGAACTGAGTACATCTCTGCTGTCAGTCACCCAGTGCATGGTCTTTTAGGGCAGCCCACGCCGGCTACTGCACCAAACACCCTGCAATGTCCACCACAAAGATGGGTGTCAGCTCACTGCAGCAACTCTGCCTTACACAAAGGAAAAACACCTCTGCACTTCTCTAGGAAACCTACAACAACAGTAAGACAATAGCAGCAGCAGCAGCAGCAGCAAATTCTAACACGGGTTACCATCCATTAAGCTTTTACTAAGTGCCGAACCCTTTCACCTACGTGACTGTGGCCCCGCAGAACAACTCTGCACAGGGTCCTCTCATTCCTAACAGGCCAAATAGTCAGTACGTGGGACAAGGCAATGCTCCTCCCCAAGTCTGCCTCCTCGGGACCCACTGGCAGCCCAGTCCCTGCTGCCTCGCACGCTGAGCTCTAGGAGAGGCGAAGCGGCTCTGCGCTGATCCCAGGGAGAGCTGAGTGGGTCCAGGGCAGGCTGCTTCCTCAGCTCTATGCAATTTGGCCTTGCAGCTCAAAATTAAGCTTTTTCAGTGGGAGGAGCACATTTCTTTCTTGATTCATACAGTTGGATGATTGCCCTTTCCTTCTGCATGGCTGCCATGTGCCCGTAAGAGGGATATGGGGCCACCTCATGCTTAAAAGGATCTCCTATCCATGGAGACCTGGCAGGACCAACATGACACCCCAGGAAAGGCGGGAACAGCAGGCAGCTAACGTGACTGGGTGGAAGCCTGTGGGGGGAGGGCTCTTTCACTGGCTAGAACAGGGGTGGGCAAACTTTTTGACTCGAGGGCCACAATGGGTTCTTAAACTGGACCGGAGGGCCGGAACAAAAGCATGGATGGAGTGTTTGTGTGAACTAATATAAATTCAAAGTAAACATCATTACATAAAAGGGTACGGTCTTTTTTTTTTTTTTAGTTTTATTCATTTCAAACGGGCCGAATCCGGCCAGCGGGCCGTAGTTTGCCCACGGCTGGGCTAGAATCAAGACACCGCCCTGCAGGATGGAGCCAGGAGGCTGCTGCCTGTTATGTACACTATAAAGCTCCTGACACAGTCCCTGGAGAGGCTTCACAAAACCTACACAAACCACCCTGTGTATTTACGTTTGCCTGGTAAGAGTGCCCGCAGATCTGAATAGACTCTCAAAAGACCCTGTGACTCAAGAGTCAAGAATCACAAATCCCAGCGAGAGAGCCTGTATTCCTCACATGTGATCTAGGGCTCACCAGGACCCAAGACAAAATGGGGTTAGGAACAAAGACCTAGCCACGCAGGTCTGTATCTTCTGCATGTATCTCCCATAACTGTGCAGAAGCAGGTGATTGGTCAGAATCCAGAATCCCAGAAATCACTATCAGAAGATGCAAACACACACACCTCCTCCTACCTATTACTATTAAACAACTTCCATTCATTTTTTTCTTGCACATACACAGTTACTGTCTTCCTTCAAAGGGTACACCAATGACATAGGTAGAGAGATTATCTCAGTTAAGCAGATGGGGATGCTCCAATATTTACAAGCAATGATGAGTCCATGATCAACACCTCAGTATCAGAAAAGATGTACACAGGATCCTTTCCCCTCCTCCCACCCAAACCCCAATTAACTCACATACCAACACACAAACACACACACTCATTCATTCATTCTCTCTCTTGCATGATGCACGCACAAATAATCAAGGTTGTCCAAATTTACTTTCCCGACTATTTAGATCATAATTCTTAATATAAAGTTATTTATTGCAGCAATCTTAAATACTATTAAACATTTCAAACAAACTTTTTCCTATTAAAATTTGCTTTGGTTTTTAAACAATGCAAAAATAATAAGAAACTGTTTAAAATTTTACCTTCTAACTGCAACAGACTTGGAGGTACAGTTGCTTGTTATCACAGGTATTAGCCTAGGGATGTGTGTGTGCTGTGCAGAAGAACAAAAAAACGAACACTTGAAAATATAAAAACAAAACTAGGACAACCACTTCCTTACTAACCTACCTAAAGTACATATATATTCAGATTACAATTTCACTGATTTAAAAAGGACAAAAGAGTATCACTGAGATTGCCAAAGGCCATAACAACATTTACAGAGCTAAAACCGACACGAGAATTAAAACAACTAGTTGGAATAAAATCTAAATTGTCTGAACAACAGAGGTCCGAGTGTGTTCAAATGGGGCCAGCAGACCAATTTATTTTGATATTGTTTTAATGGAAATACCCAATAATGGCTTTCAGTTTAATATTAAGCAGGCAGTGCAAATAGTAAGAACTAAACGTAATACAAAGTAAGTAACCCACAATAATCAGAATATTCTGGGTAGACTTTGGTTAACCTCAAGCCTCAGCGGCAAGGGCTGCCTCTGGGAAAAGGGACTTGAGAGTGGGGAGCAGTGATATGGAGAACTTTCATTTTAAGCCGTTGTGAACAACTGAATTTTACTGAAAACCTGTATATAAATTACTTAAATAATTACTTAAATGTAAATGAATGTTTAGAAAGCTGAACTAAAGAGAACATTTTGTTTCTCTGCTACCTACTATTAAGTAAATAACAATTACAGGTGAGTAACAAAACCACAAACACAAATATCTAGAGTGTAACGACCAGGCATTAGGAAGGAAAGAAAGGGAGCGTAATGTGGAGATGTAAATAACAGTAGAAACTCAGAAGCAGATGGGGATGCTCCAATATTTACAAGCAATGATGAGTCCATGATCAACACCTCAGTAACTATACACCGCATCCATAATTCACGTGATGGAATGTGAAAGGCTCATGTGCTATAATTAAGTGGGGGAAAAGGCCAATACTTACCCGAATGATTAACCTAACAGCTACAACACCAGAAGTGGCCATAATTTTGGCACTGTTTGGAATTAAATTAAAGATAGTTGGCATAATGGCTTCAGCTCCATGGTCAAACTTATTCCCCAGAACTGATGACAGATGCCTAAAATAAGAAATGAATACTGGACTGTAGTTCTATTTCTTGCAAACAGAGAAGCATATAAAACTCTTAACATTTTAGAACCTTCATTTAAAGTTATCTAGAAATTAAGGACAAGGGTCTCAAATCTTTCCAATGTACATGTAGAGGACTTGGCAAATAGCTAGTAGCCCATTGTTCCTTTTAAAAAAAAGTAAATCATTTCCAACAAATTAGAATTCAAATAGCAAAAGACAAATTTATCATACACTAATAAAACATAAACAGGAAAAAGCTGCCTCACTCTTTCTCTTTCACCCTTTTTATTTTCAACATAAAATATTCATGCTTCAACATCTGACTGCAGCCAAAGCTTTTAAACAGCCGCAATGCCATCTGATGTCACTGCTCCTCTGATATTCAGACATACTTCCTAACACAGAAGTTGCAGCTCCAAACATTGGTCCAGATTCAGTTTAAGTAGGATAAACATTTACTAGACTATACTGCATGTCTTTAATTTTATAGCTAGAGTACTCTTCTAGAAACAATAAAAAATTCTGATAAGCATGCTATATCCTGTCAGCAAAATCAATGAAAAAGCTGAGAAACAAGTTTATAAATTTCATTTTTCAGTATTATTAGTAACAACTGCTTCAGAGCTAAGTCACAGAATAAAGTTTAAAATCTGTCATACTTTACATAATTGGGCGAGAAGTACTGTAAAAGTATTAGCAGCAGTGTAACTGGAATGGGTCTTGGAGACTAGACGGGAGTAACATTAGAAAGACCCATCGGACAGAGCCATGAACCGCCCCGAAGCCTGTGCCTAGGATGTTATGACGTGAGAATCTGGAGCTTTGCAGTCCTTACCCCAACGTGATACAAGCCTCCCGCACTACCTGAGACCGCAGATCCTTAGCAGATAGTTTAAAGGCTCCATCCAAAAGTCTCAAATGTTGAAAGAAGTTATCATATTCAGCAGCACCAGCCAAAAGTAAAGATCTAATCTTTTTTAGCTAATGGGATAGAGAAAATTAGGAGATATATAAAACTGTTCCTAAAACAGAACATATGGAATAACAGAAGCCATCAAATATGAGAGATCAATGTCAAAGTTAAATAATATAGAAATAGTTTTCCAAAAAGAACTCAGCCAATTAAATGTTAGCTAATATATGGAACAAATCTACATAGCAAAAATAAGAACAATTTTTAAAATGTAGTATCTATGATAAATACGATTCTACAAAATGCATTTTAAATTGAAAACACCTTAATGTATACATTCTATCCTAATGATAAAATCACCAGAGCCTGCATTTTAGCTTGTAAAAGGCTCCTCCCTCCTAAGCTTACCTTCCCCCACACCCACTTCAACTGCCATTTATTTAATAAATCAAAGGAAGTAGCAATCCTAGAGTCTCTTTTAGTATCCTCCACTGTATCATTACTAAAAGCTGGTCTGAATTTGAAAGGGAATACAATAGCTTTCTTACCACCCCTCTTTTTGCCAGCCAACCACTGTAAAAATAGCTTTCTCAGATCAGACGCACCGTCCCTTTAATGTTCAGCTACTTGCTTTCATTAATCTACTTTTAAAAACAGACAAACAGGACTTTCTAGCATGCAATGTGAAGAAAGGAAGAGAAGATCACACTAAATGTCACTAAAAAGCAGCTTCGCTGTCTTTACCAGGTGAAAGTGGAGGGCATCACCAGACATTCCACAATTAGGTCTTTGTTAAAAATATAGGATCTGCATAAAGGTGTAAGTTTGCATGCTTTAAAAATAGATGTGAGGTACTCTACTAAAAGGTAAAATGTTAATGCAGTAATTTTTATTTAAAATATTTACTCCTTAAAATTCATTAGAGCTGTATCCCAATTTCATAATAAAGAGTTTAGAAGATATAAATAAATCTAGTGAAAATGTAATCACATAAAATCACTGGCTTACAGCATTTACTCTTTGCTCCCAATCATGCTTGTCATCAGATAATATTTCCCTAATCTTGTTTATGGATTCCTCGAGGTCTCGACTGGAATAAATCTGTAAGCAAAATTAATTTACAATAAGCATAAGATAATGTAAAGAATAAAAAAGATTATTTCTTAATTACATGAAGTCAAGAGCATTTAGTAAAATAAATCATTTCATTTTCCAGAAGAGCCTATGAGATAACATCTGGACAGATTTGTCCTAGAGTGAGCTTCATCCCCCTTGTGAGCATGTACCCACTAGATCTGGTGCCCATATATGGGTAACCCAGCCTCAAATACAGCTTTATGGTAAACTTAACAGATGGCTTGCCATTTAAAAAGAACAAGACCTGCTGGGAACGGTCAGTGGTGCACAAGTCCTTTAGGATTCCTAGTAGCACATATAACAGTGCATTACACAATCCATTTCACATCCATCACTTTCAAATCTGCTTTTTCATTTACTCCCACATCTGATAAGACAGGTAGGAGAATCATCAACCAGGAATGAGACATGCTGGGAAGATCAAGGACTTAAGGATGAAACTTAGCCTAAGATGCCTGTTATCTTATTTACACACATTTGGAAACCAAACAGTAGTTAACAAGCAATTCATCTATATATACAAAAGCCTAAGCGACCAAGAACAGTACAATCGATCGATCAGTTGCTATGATGTGCACTGACCGCCAGGGGGCAGACGCTCAACACAGGAGCTGCCCGCTGATGGTCAGTGCCTTCTCACAGCAGGAGCACCACTCAGCTGACCGATGGGTGCCAGATGCCAGGCTCATGGCTGATGAGTGCAGCTGCAGTGGCACAAACTTCTCCTGCCTCCGCAGCAGTGCTACCCGAGCAGCAGTGGCACAGCGGGGCAAGGATGAGTGGGAGTGGCGTGGCGCCCGCCCGGGCTCAGGCTCCTCCCCGGCTGCCTGCTGCTTTGCACACTACTACATCCCTCGGGGGATGTCAGACTGCCGGCTCCTGCCCTATTCAGCCTGGTCTGGCCTGCGGGGATTGGGCCAAAACTGGCAGTCCAATATCCTCTGAAGTGTTCCAGATTGCGAGAAGGCGCAGGCCAGGCTGAGAGGCCCCACCAGTGCACAAATCCATGCACTGGGCCTCTAGTATAGACATAAAATGCTATAGGAATCCAGAGCATTGGATAGTCAATGTAGGCTAAGAAAAGTATTGCTACCTCCAGTCATTGATAAAAAACACTGTGACATTCAAAGCACATAAAATGTGTGACTTTACCCCAACTTTTATCAATACCTTTGCTTCATCTGTTAGGTACTTAAGTGAAGTATCAAGATGGCATAAATAAGCTTTTATCAAACCATTCTTCATAGCTTCTCAGACACCAAAACCCTTCAAATTTACAAATTTTTCTTTCTAAGAAAAATCCCTAAATAAGCATGCTTCTTTGTTCCTTTGTATAATCTAATCACTCCCTTCCCCCCTCTTTTATGTGCCCTGACCCACCAACTTGCTACTAGAGGAAGCAACTTCTTTCTAGTTCTTACTGAAAGATCATCCTGGGCCTTGACTTTTGCTCATTTCAGCTATAAAAGGCTCCAACACTTTCTGGTCTGCAACCTCAGATCTCCTGTAGTCTCGATACCAATGAAAAGGGTAGCGGTCGTACGCTAATTACCATGTTTCTCTTTTATTAGTGTAGATTCTTCATAGCTTCTCAGACACCAAAACCCTTCAAATTTACAAATTTTTCTTTCTAAGAAAAATCCCTAAATAAGCATGCTTCTTTGTTCCTTTGTATAATCTAATCACTCCCTTCCCCCCTCTTTTATGTGCCCTGACCCACCAACTTGCTACTAGAGGAAGCAACTTCTTTCTAGTTCTTACTGAAAGATCATCCTGGGCCTTGACTTTTGCTCATTTCAGCTATAAAAGGCTCCAACACTTTCTGGTCTGCAACCTCAGATCTCCTGTAGTCTCGATACTTAAAATTACTTACCGAGTAAGGAACTTCCCGTACCACATATTTGAAAAGTGAAATTTGAAGAGTAAGCCTCTCCTTGCTTTTAATCAAACTCAAACATCCTCACTCACCTGCACTGCAGGTACGTCGTCAAAGGCTTTAATAAAATCCTCTTCATCAACAGCACCAGCTCCTTCTTTTGGAGCTATAAAAAATTTATTTTAAAATGTAAATTAAATGCATTGGAAGATGAATAAATACAATAAACGTTATATTTTGGTAGATTTGTAATCATTTCTTTAAAGCTTAATAAAAATATAAAGTGCGGTGATTCCACAATATTTTACTGATTTTTTTAAAATATGTTTTTATTGATTTTAGAGGGGAAGGAAGAGGGAGAGATAGAAACATCAATAATGAGAATCATTGATCGACTGCCTCCTGCACACACTCTATTGGGGATCGAGCCTGCAACCTGGCATGTGCCCTGATTGGGAATCAAACTGTGACCTCCTGGTTCATGGGTCAATGCACAACCAATTAAAATAAGTTCTAACGCATTTAACAGTTTCATTTCAACTTTATATTAGCCTTAAAACATTTTCATTTCCTTCGAACTCACGATAATTGTAAATTTTTCATTTATACATCAGTAGCAAGTTCCCCCTACAAAATTGTTGTAAGATGCTTTGTATACTTAAAAGTTAATTGCTGTCATTTAGGAGCACGTTTTTTCTTTTTGCTATTATAAACGCCACACATAAAATCTTATGACATCTTACAGTTGTTGTTTTTCATACTAAAGATTTCAAAACTGGTGTCTGCAGTCATCCTTGTAACCCTCATTGATTCATATTGGTCCCTGTGAGTGCTTCTCTAGAGCTTCTTACCAGACACCTCTCTGGTGTTTGGTGTCCTGCTGGAACCCGCACAGAAAAGGGCTTTATGGACAACTCCTGGCAGCAGTACATGCATGCCAACCCCCGATGAACAATCACTCACACTGCATTTACAGGCCAGCTATGGACAGGTGACAGTCACGCACTGAGCTGGGATGCTCTGTGCCTGTTCTAGCACTAGGACTGGATCCCACTGAGCAGACAGGTCCTGAGTGCCTCCTCTGCGTAAGGCACTGCCCCACGTACCCACGAAGGGAAGAGGACTCCAAGACCTAAGGAATCTGACAAGAAGGAGCCAACAAGGAACTTCATGGCCATGGTGCTAGGCAAAATGGGGAAGAGATGAGGTCAGGGCCGAAGGGGAGACAGGGCTGGTGTCTCTGCTAGTTTACACAGCTGAGACTTTTGGAAGGAACGTCTGGGTGAAGGGTGGGAAGGAAATGAAGTGGTCTGATCAGGCAGAAATTTCTGAAACCTTATTTGTAGAATTGACACCACTCAAGAATAGATCAAGAAAAAGGAGTAGGAAGGCTGTTTGGCCGTAAGAGGAATGAAGTACTGATATATGCTACAACGTAGATGAACCTCAAAAACATGCTCAGTGAAAGAAGCCAGAGCAAAGATCTCATTCTCCAAAGAGCCAGCATAGGTAAAGTCTCAGGAACAAAATGCAGACTGTGGTGGCCAGGGGCTGGGGAGGAAGGGGAGCAATGGATAAAGAGTGTGGGGCTTTCTTTTGGGGTGAGGAAACTGTGTTGGAACTAGAAGTGGTAGGTGCACAATACTGTGAATATACTAAATGCCAATGAATTGTGACCTTTAAAATGGTTAATTTTATGCTATGTGAATTTAAGCTCAATAACAAAAATAAAAATTTTTACATGCACTCCCCTAAAAAAGTTAGAGGTCCACGCTCTCCAAGCAGACAGAGCTGCCGGCAGAGGCCCTGCAGTGCAGCGCGCCGCTCCGGTCCAGACTCCAGCACTCCAGGGCCAGTTGGGAGAGCAGCCAAGACCGGCAGGACGCGGCATGCGGGTGCTAACCTGGCTCCAGCTTTAACTCAGCACATCAGCAAGCTCAAAAGCCCAATGCTAACAGGAGCACGGTCTAAAACCAGTGGCCACATAATAGTTTAGAAGTAAAAAGTAGGAAATTTGCATATAAATGCACAATGTGACATCAAAATGAAAGTAGATAATGACTCAAACTGTCCAAATTCGGGGGTGGGAGGAGGGATCATGTGACATCAAAATGAAAGTAGATAATAAGGACTCAAACTGTCCAAATTCGGGGGTGGGAGGAGGGATTTAGGGAGGAAATCTTTGTAAATCAATTTTCAAGCCTCAAGGAACTAACCCCTCCGATTTACTTAATTTAATATCTATACTAATCTCACAAGGAATAATGCTACCTGGAGAAACAAAATACATTTTAAAGACAGAAGATACAATCTGACTTCCGGATAGTCTGTCTTGATAAATAAAAACTGGCTAAAAAGGCCCCATTTCAGACACCGCTAGATGCCAACAATCAACAAATGCTCTTCCTCCATCTCTTAGCTCCGCTTCCCGGGGTGTGGGCTTCATTCTCCTACAGCAGCGATTCTCAACCTGTGGGTCGCGACCCCTTTCACAGGGGTCGACTACGACCACTGGAAAACACATATATAATTACATATTGTTTTTGTGATTAATCACTATGCTTTAATTATGTTCAATTTGTAACAATGAAAATACATCCTGAATATCAGATATTTACATTACGATTCATAACAGTAGCAAAATTATAATTATGAAGTAGCAACGAAAATAATTTTATGGTTGGGGGTCACCACAACATGAGGAACTGTATTAAAGGGTTGCGGCATTAGGAAGGTAGAGAATCACTGTCCTACAGGCAATGCTTACCAAAAGGTGGCAACACAGCATCTCAAATTGACATCCCTCCAACTCCTCACCACCAACAGCACAGAAGTTAAAGAACGGCAGTAGAAACATATTGCAAGCGAGACTGCTTCACTTCTGAAGGACCCAGAGGCAAGTACCACGCACGTCTGGTTTCAAAAGCTTGCACAGCTGACCCCACAACGCCCCCCAGGGCTGGAATTACCTGAAGACTTAGACCCGAGAGTGGATGATCCAAACCGCCGGGTGGTCCCCATTCCAGCGTTTCTCCGTGAGCTTGGTGGAGCTTTGGATGATGTGGAACTGGCAGAGGAAGGTCTGTTACCATCCACAGAATCTTCATCATCAAAGTTTTTATCTGAAGAGTAAGCACAGAAATCACTGGGGTTTTTTTGTTGTGTTTTTTAAGAACTTTTTTACCTGAACTTCAAACATCTAGCCTTAGAGGTGAATAGCTTGCCTCCTCTTTTGGAATCTGAGTGCCTGTCCAGGGTCTGTCCAGGCCTCAGGTAAGTCCAGAATGCAGCAACACCATCCAGTTCACTCTCACTAATCTGGGACCCTCTCCGCCCATTTGGAAAATAGAAAACACACAAAGAAGAAAGCAATCTCTCGTAAGGCCACCACCTAGAAACATTTTAGCATGTTTCTGACCGTTCGGTCATGCAGTTTTAGATAATAGCTGGCATACCCTGCCGACACGGCTCAGGGGTTGAGTGTTGACCTATGAACCAGGAGGTCACGGCTGGATTCCCAGTCAGGGCACATGCCCAAGTTGTGGGCTCGATCCCCAGTGTGGGACGTGCAGGAGGCAGTCAATTGATTCTCTCTCATCACTGATGTTTCTATCTCTCTCTCCCTCTCCCTTCCTCTCTGAAATCAATAAAAATATACTTTTTTAAAAAAAGCATTGAACAGACTGTCAAACCTCAGAGGAAAGGGGGTGGCGGATAAGAGATCAACCAAAGGACTTGTATGTATGCCTATACGCATAAGCAATGGACACAGACAGTAGGGGGGTGAGGGCATGTGCTGGGAGGGCGGGGGTGGCCGGAGAGAGGTCAATGGGGGGAAAAGGAGACATATGTAATACTTTCAACAATAAAGAATTTAAATTTTAAAAAAAACACATAAAAATAAAAGCATATAATCCCACTACGGAACCTTTCTCAAAGAACAAAATTAATGCATGTATTAACATAATTAAATAGCTCAAATATTACAAGAAAATAAAATGAGAATAAAAGGCTTCTCTCCCACTCCACTATTAGTTTCCAGATTTTTGTTTTTAATTTTCTATTTTGGAACAGCACTCGAGCGACAGAACAGTTGTGAAGACAGCACAGAGTTCCCATTTACCCCACACACAGTCTCCCTACTATTAACATCTAATATTAGCAGTGCACTCTTGATACGTTATTATTAACTAAAATCCATCGTTTATTCAGAGTTCCTTCCTTTTCTCCTACTGTCCTTTATCTGTTCCAGATCCCACTAAGGATACCAAGCGACACGCAGTCATCACACCTCCCTCGGCTCCTCCAGGTTGTGAGTTCTCAGACTTCCTTGACAGCTTCCAGGAGTACTGGTAGGAGCGTTCACAGATATCCTTCAATCTGCAAATATTTACCTGATTTTTCCTTCATGGTTAGATCGAGTTTATGGGTTTGGGGAAGGAAAACTACAAGATAAAATACCACTCTCATCACATCACATCACATCACATCACATCACATTACATCACATCACATCAAGAGAACATGCCATCAACTAGCCTCCTGACATGGGCCTCGGTCCCCTAAGGGAGTGTGTGTCCGGCTGGCCGCACTGCCCTCTGGAGAAGCCGCTGTGCTCATCACACACAGCATGGGAGTTATGCTCTCCTCTGCTGGGCTGGAGAGCTACAAAGCTGACTGGGAGTAACTCCACATGGGAGAGTTGTCTTTTCTCCCTTGCTTACTGGTATGGACTCACCACTACTGAGTTTATACTTTGGGTAATAAGCCAATACTACTTTGTTTTATTGCTCAACTTGTTCCGGCTTTGACCGCTGAGAATCTTTCAGTTGAGGCCTGTGTCCCTTGGACACCCCCATGACTGCTTTTTGTTCTGTCTTGCTTGAGCAGGTCCTTACTTTCTGGCATCAAGATGTACCAGGCTCACTGGGTATGTTCCCTGCTCCAGCCCTAAAATCAGTCATTTCCCCATGAAGTCCTGTTGCTGTCGAAAACCCAGATCTGGGCTTATTACACACATGATTCTGCTTTTGTTTTTCTTTAGAGAGCTTTCCACATCTAAACAAAAACATCAATTATATCACTTTAAACACCCAGCCCAACTTTTCACCTCCCATTAGACCATGTAAAGGTGCCACAGTGAATGGTGTCCTGTATTTATGGACCAGGTCTTATGCCAGGCTAGCTATATGCACCCTCTCATTTACCCTCACAGTGGTGCAGGAATTACTATCCCCAACTTGTGTGGGAGAAAATCAAAGCTGAGAGACAAGCTATCAGAGCAGGTCACACACCACTCCTGCAGCCGCAGTGTGAGGGATTCCAGTCTACACTGCCCTGAAGTCACTTGCCCACTTATATCCACCCTCTAAGCCAGGGGTGGGCAAACTTTTTGACTCGAGGGCCACAATGGGTTCTTAAACTGGACCGGAGGGCCGGAACAAAAGCATGGATGGAGTGTTTGTGTGAACTAATATAAATTCAAAGTAAACATCATTACATAAAAGGGTACAGTCTTTTTTTTTTTTTTAGTTTTATTCATTTCAAACGGGCCGGATTCGGCCCGCGGGCCGTAGTTTGCCCACGGCTGCTCTAAGCACAAAAGCCACTTACAAGTACTGGTGACATTTTTTGGATGATTTACACCAGTCTGCACCAAACTGAGGACTGTAAGGAAAAACTTGTAATTAATCTTAGAGTTAAATTTAGTTCACTTTAAGGACTATCTTTTATTCCAAATTACATCTTTCTTATTTTTTATTGGTGTTAATAGTCCTTGTTTTATGAAAGAACAAGAGATAGGTGGGATTTTTGTTTTGTTATTGTTGTTGTTATATTTAGTAAAATTAAAGTTGGTCACCCTGTAGCAATCTCCCCCCCACACACACACACATGAAAGGGCGAGATCTCAAACCTGCGGACACGCGGCCCCCGCCCTTCCCCGCATTCTCAGTGAAGGGGCGGGGACTGCGCCCTCCATCTTACCCTGGGTCCTCCATTTTTGGGCAGGGCCATGTGCTCGGCAAAGGCTTCTTCCTGGAAGGAGCCTCTGCTAGCCACACCCAGGATTTCTCTGGACTAACCAATGATAATCAAGGGAAGTGCAATCCATCTCTATGACCACATCCTGTGTAATGAGACACCAACTCGCCCCTGGCCAATCGGCGGGGCCCACAGTCCCCTCTCCCGCCCTTACTCCACCCCCCTATAAAACTCCTGGTCCCATCAGGCTTCTCTCTCTCGGCCACTTGGCTTGCCGTTGTGTCGGTGAGTGTGGTGGACGGGGAGCTCGAGCTAGCTTGAAATAAAGGACTCTTTGCTTTTGCATTGGACTGGCTGGCTCCCTGGTGGGCTCTTGGGAATCTTGAAATCTGGGCATAACACACACACCCTGTTTTAAAAATTCAGCTCAGAAGTAAACGGCCTACAACAAAAACCTCCGTTTCTGAGAAAGCACACAAGGCCCCTGTTCATCTGCCCCTGCAGCATTACACCAAACGGATTTTGAAAACAAACTCGTCAGGTTTATAATACAATTTCCTCTCCCAGACTGCCTCCCTGGGAGCCCCTATCAACTGGCAAACAACTGATTAGGAAAACCACACTTCAAAGTGTCTAAAACTTGGTTATAGAGTACTAGTGCCTGTTTAATAATATCTCTTTGCATGCTTTCATTTCTTAATTATTCCCCAAGGCAGTGACTGAAAATGGTACAACGTCAGAAACAAAGACACGCTTTATCCCAGCAGTTTTGCTGAAGCTTGCCCACGGGTTTTGCTGAAAGGACTAAGACGTGAAAATGGTACAACATCAGAAACAAACAAAGACACGCTTTATCCCAGCAGTTTTGCTGAAGCTTGCCCACGGGTTTTGCTGAAAGGACTAAGACCTGAAAGGACTAAGACGACAAGGTCCCGGCCCGCTCTCTGTCCAGCACCAGCACAAGTAGAGAAAACCTGAAGCCTTCTGTACCCACGTTTAAAAGCTGCCCTGCCTACTCCTCAGGGGCTGCTGTGCGGATCATAACACAAAGACAAACAAAAGGCATTCAGGAAAGTGCTCTGAAAATACTAAAATACTCTACACTCAACTGTGGCAGAATCGTTGGTATTGTATTCTGCAGACTGCTAATGGTCTTTGTTAATCATGGCTTCATAAAGGAAAATTCAAATATGCCACAACCACAAAAATCAGCTTTTAAACCTTGTTTCCTACTACATTTGCAGCCACTTAAGGTAAAAGTTACCAATGCTTCTAAGCTTGCATTTCAAGGACACAATTTGAAAGGAATTATCAAGTGAAAAAGTCTTCATTTTAAATTCAGATCTACGGGCTCTCTCCATGGCTTTTAATACATTAGTTGACTTCCATAATTATTTTGCCCTGTCGTTTAAAAAATAATAACAAATACAACAACTTAAGACAAATGCTATAAGCAACACACTGTCAAATTGTCAAGTGAAGGTCTCTGAAAGAGGCCACTCCAGACAGGAGTGATTTAACCCTCCGGGCCAGGTGTTGATTTCCCACAGCAGCTTAACCTGAATACAGGATAATGTCATGAGGGAGGAAATGAAAAGAAATACCATCACTCTATGCTTTAAATTCCCAGTGTGAAAACACAACTAATAAGCAGAAATGCGTATCTTCCAATATGACCACTTTCTGCAAACTGAACCAAATTTAGTGTAAGGAGATAAATACACACCTTCACAATCCCCTACAAAATAAACACAGCAAATTTACTCAGCATAGTACCTGTATAGTGGCAGAGTCTCTGTTATTACATCTTGTTTCAGTTGCAGGGTATGGCAATATCCTTCAGAGACAACAAATTCAAAGCCTGCCAGGAAGACCATCCCAGAGGAAAGCAAGACAGCGGAGCAGGTGTCCCCATCACACCAAGCCCACTCTCCTTCAAACGCGAACCTGGTTCGCAGGGAGTCCTTCCAAGGCATAGGTAAGACCTCCCTGTGAAGACTGAAGACTACTCAACAAGGTTTTCTGAAAACAATACTTCTTTAGTAGTTTTTCGGTTCCACTTTTGCATTTTTAAAATGCAAGTCTTTAAAAGGGAAGGAAAAATTGTATAAACTGATTCTCAAGAAGAAAGGCAGCACCC